TGGTGCCTGCCTCAAGCAGGTTGAGTCTCCCCATAGGACGCACTGTTGCAAACAATCGCATGAAGAGGAGGTCCGGAGCCAGACTCCCCCTTTCCCCCCCCTTCCGCCCAATGTCGAAACGCCGAAGAAGAACACGTTCACAATCAGAGCCAGGTGCGGTGACGAAGGAATCCGCCGGCTCCAATCGATCTCCGATGTTGTTGTGCGTTGCGAGCTGCTGCGTGGTGCCGTGCGATCTTGCATTGGCTGTGCCTCCTCTGGACAAGTTATTCTCGCTGCATCTTGGGCTGCTCCGAGTCTTCGGACGGGGTGCTGCGGTGCAGGTTTTTGGGCACCTCGATGGGGCTGGTGAGTCGCTGGGCTGAGGCCGAGGCACATAATTGACTGAAAGGCTGATGCTCGTTGAGGGTGGACCGCTGCTGGTCCCACCAGTCCTGCGGCGGAGGCTGCCAATGCTGGCCAGGAGGTGCTGGCACGGGCCCCTCTGCCATCCCCTCCCAACCATCCCTCGTTCCGCTCCTATCTTCCTCCTCCGGATTCCATGGGCGAGGATCGAGATTGTTGGGCATCTCTTACTCTCTGATTGACGGTGCCGAGAGACTTCGAAGGCGTCCAGGGGCGCCTCCAGAGAGAACCCTGGGGACCTCCAGAGGTTCAAGCAACAGACAAGCCTGGCGGCCCGTGAGCTTGGGCGCTGCGGACCGCGAGCATCCTCTTCAGCGAGCCGGTCGCCGCGGTGGTTGGAGCCGCCACGGTCACCGACTGCGGCGAGGACCCGGATTTACGTAGCACCCCGCAATTGCGGATAAGAGTGAGGGGGCGGGCGCGGGCGACGCGGGCGTCGAGCCGGCGGACCTCGTGGCCCTCACCTTCCCTGTCGATGGCGCCCTCCTCCTTCTCCTCCTGCTCCTCCTGCTCCTCCTCCTCCTCGTCCTCCTCCTCCCCTTCCTCGTCCGCGTCATCGTCCTCATCGTCGTCGTCGTCGTCCGCCTCCTCCTCCTCTACCTCATCCTCCTCTTCCTCCTTTTCTTCCTCCTCATCCTCCTCCTCCTCCTCTTCCTCCCCCATCCCGATCCTCCCCCTCCTCCTTTCCGTCGTCGTCCTCCTCCTCCTCCTCCTCCTCCCCCTCCTCCTCCCTCCTTTCTCGTCGTCCCCATCCGTCCCCCCCTCCTTTTCCTCCTCGCCCTCGTCGTCGGCCTCCTCTTCGTCCTTTTACTCGTCGTCGTCGTCGTCGTTGTCGTCGTCGTCTTCCTCCTCCTGCTCCTCGCCCTGCCCCTCCTCCCCTCCTCTGCGGAGCGCGCGCGCGCCGGGGGGGTGGGTCGCGGGCTTGTTCAGTGAACGTAGTTTGGGTTGCGGGTGGGTCGCGGGCTCTCCACCTCCACCTGGAAGGAATTCAAAAACAACCCGACGCAGGCGCCGAAAATTGCGATTTGTACACTGATTGCGGTTTGCGTCGCGGGTGGGTCGCAGGTTCTCCTCTTGGAACGAATGCAAAAGACGCCCACCGCAGGCGCTGAAAATTTTGGGTGGCGCCGAGAATTTTGGGTGGGTCGCGGGGTGGATCGCGGGTGGGTCGCGGGTGGGTCGCGGTCGGGCGCGGGTGGGTAGCGGGCGCGGTTTGGGTCGCGGGTGGGTCGCAGGTTCTCCACCTGGAACGAATGCAAAATAAACCCGCCGCAGGCGCGGAAATCGCGGGGTGGGTCGCGGGTGGGTCGGGTGGGTCGCGGTCGCGGGTGGGTGGGTCGCGGGATGGGTCGCGGGTGGGTCGCGGTGGGTCGCCAGTGGGTCGCGGGTGGGTCGCCGGGGGGGTCTCGGGGTGGGTCGCGTGCGGGTCGCGGGGTGGGTCGCGGGTGGGTCGCGGGTGAGTCGCGGGTGGGTCGCGGGGTGGGTCGTGGGTGGGTCGCGGGGTGGGTCGCGGGTGAGTCGCGGGTGGGTCGCGGGGTGGGTCGCGGGTGGGTCGCGGGGCGGGTCGCGGGTGGGACGACGACAACAACAGACAACAAACAACAAACAACAATCAACAAGTAACACACAACAAGCAACAACACCAACAATAATAATCCACATCGCGGAATTCCACTTCAGGCACGCACCCAGGGACAGTGAATGACCGTTCGGTTCAGCCCCATCACTGTGATAATTCCTGATCTCTCCTGATCCTTTGATACTCGAGTTTTCCAGTCGCGACCGACGAGAACGGTCGCTACCGATTTTGCTTCAGATTTCGGTATCGGTCGCTACCGATTTGCTTCAAGATCGGTCGCGACCGATCGCTCGCGACCGTTCTGGAAGGCCGATCGGTCGCTACCGAGCGCAACCGAAAAACAAATCGGTATCCAATGATCTGGGAAAGTGGCATGAACACGAACTTCCCGGGGTCCGCGGAGATCTCTAGGACTCGGGCTGGAACACCCTCCTTGGCGCGCCGGACGCGTCAGGGGCGGCGCTGGAGTCGCCGCCAGGTGGGGTCCAACGCCGCTCCAGGAAATCCGCGCGGACCTCCGAAAGTGTATGTTTATGCATTTCTTTCTTCTTCTACGATCCGTCAGTCAGGGCTTCATCAGGCGCGCTATTCTAGTGGATCGGCGGGTCGATTGAGACCGTAACTGTCTGTCGGGCCTTGCATCAGCAGGGTGTTCCGCACTTGGGATGACTGGTTTGTGCGGATCGGGATCAGGATCAGGCCGCAGTGAGCCTGCAGTGGCGAGGCGTCCTGGCTTACCTATAGGCCCACCAAAACATGTTCCAAGAACCTTGTATGGTTTGCACGAACTGTTCTTGGAAGACTTCTGGCTGGGGCCGTCTTGTTTTAACACATCTGTTTTATGTTCTAAGAGCGTTGTCTTCGTTTTCAGAACATTCCTTGGATTCCCAGAAGATTTCGTGGAAGGCCTACAGGAATGCCGGGACGGTCGGTCCCTGCTCAATGGGTCTGGCAGGGAGGGGGGTACAGTGGTGGCCCATGCCAAGAAACATCCTGCTAGTCTCCAGGGTGCCCTGAGTATCTCGGATTTCCATGGTTCTGCCATGGAAAGCGTGAAGTTCCCACACCAACCATCGATGGACGCCCTGGGGTCTCTGGGCCGGGTGTCTTGCGGAAGGTTTTCTTGTGGTTGGGCCCTGACGGTGCTGCCAAGGACCTGGACTGCAGTCGCGCCTGCGACAACGAAGTGGTTGCCGCGGCCCCAGGTGTCGCGCTCCACACGCTCTGCAGCCGCCGCTGCCCGCTCGAGGCTGCTCGCAGCCTCGTCTCTGCACGGCTCTCGCATCAAGTCGGGGTCGTGTCCCTCTACAGGAGGAATATTCGAAAATAGTCAGACAATATAGTTGACTATTTTACCTAACAGCTTTTGCTGATAGGTTTCTAGTGGTGTCAAAAGAGAGCAGCAGATGACTCCACAGGGGGGTCGGGGCGGGACCCGGGGAGCTGTGTCCGAACTCGTGTCCGAATGCGTTTTTCGCAAACAGTCACACACTTCGTGCTCTTCGACCTCCCAGAACTCCATTCCCGGGCCACATTCTGAATGCCTGGAGCCAACTGTAGGCCACTTCGTGGTTTTCGACTTCCTAGAATTCCATTCCCGGGCTACATTTTGAATGCCCGGAGCCAACCGTAGGCCACTTCGTGCTCTTCGACTTCCCAGAACTCCATTCCCGGCGTACATTTTGGATGCCCGGAGCCAACCGTAGGCCACTTCGTGCTCTTCAAGTTCCCAGAACTCCACTCCCGGGCCAGATTTTGAATGCCCGGAGCCAACTGTAGGCCACTTCGTGCTCTTCGACTTCCCAGAACTCCATTCCCGGGCCACATGCTGAATGCCCGGAGCCAACTGTAGGCCACTTCGTGCTCTTCGAGTTCCCAGAACTCCATTCCCGGGCCATATTTTGAATGCTGAGGCAGGCTGATGCTGAGGCTGAGGCAGGCTGAGGCTGAGGCAGGCTGAGGCTGAGGCCGAGGCTGAAGGCAGACTGAGGCTGAGGCTGAAGCAGGCTGAGGCTGAGGCTGAGGCAGGCTGAGGCTGAGGCTGAGGCAGGCTGATGCTGAGGCAGGCTGAGGCTGAGGCTGAGGCTGATGCAGGCTGAGGCTGAGGCAGGCTGAGGCTGAGGCCGAGGCTGAAGGCAGACTGAGGCTGAGGCTGAAGCAGGCTGAGGCTGAGGCTGAGGCAGGCTGAGGCTGAGGCAGGCTGAGGCTGAGGCTGAGGCAGGCTGAGGCTGAGGCTGTGACTGCGACTGCCGTTGGCACTGCGACTGTCATCGCGAATGCGACTACGACTGCGAGAACAGCAGAATTCTACAACTGGATTCTCATCTGAATCTTAAGGGGAATGCTTCCAGATATGCTCCTACACATCGCTGTTAGGTTGCTTGGCCGGGATAATTTGAATATGATTATATATATATATATATGTTAAGAATTTGTCCTCGAACATCCGCCTGTAGGGGGACATGCCCGACCTAACTCTGGCAAACCTTTTCGGTCGTGGTCCGAGTGTGCTCGGCCATCGAGCTATGATAATGGTGCGTTCGCGCGTGCTGCCTGCTCTCGAAGCAGATCGCATCTCTCGGTTGTGGTTTCCTCCCTCCCTTTGCCCTGCTCCTCCTTCCCGCTCTCGCCTTTCGCTTCCCCGCCTGTGGGGCTGTGGGCGAGACCGTCAGCAAAGACGGCCCCAGGTCGCTAGGAATTGGGCCTCAGACGGCCCGAAACGCCTCTCCCCCACAGACCAGCAACAAGAGAACGACCGCCCAGACAAGTCATTGAGGAATCCTACGCGAGCTCACTCAACATGAGAATTCGAACTGTGCCGGTGCAGTCTCCAGTCGGTTTTGCTAATCGGCTTGTGGCTTTCCAGGTGCATTTCGCTGTCTTTGGATGCCAGTTAGCTGTTCTGCTCAGATGCGCTCGGAATGTTTCACCGCGCGCGCCCGCGGAGCGCTTCAGACGGCTTATCGGAGGTTTGTTCCTGAAGGGATGTCTGCCAATCTTCGACACAGACTCATAGCAGCTTGTGCTTTGATAGGAAGGGCTCTCGCACAAGGAGAAGCGTCGCAGGAGGATGCGGGGGCGCAGTGCGGCCGCGTCTCGTACAGGTACGTTCCAAACGGGATAGCACTGATGAGCAGACTCTGGAGTTTCCTAGTGGGGGAAGGGGGCGGAGACGGCGGAGGGAGACACAACATGGGCGGTGGAGAATGTCTCCAGGGGCCTCTGGAGAGACCTCACAAGAGACTTGCAGAGACCACCGGATGTCCTCGGGCCCTGGCACCCGACCTCGGGTCCTGACATCTGCGTCGCTGTGGAAAAAACCGGTGTGCAACGTACCCAGACCCCCGACGTCATGATTTTTTCATGACGCGACCCCCAGAGGTCTGGACCCATTCGCCAGGACCGGTTTTTCGTCCTGAGTCGTTTTTTGACGGTCCCGAGGCCCGGCGAGGGCCCCCGGAGGCCGAAAATAGCGAAAAACCTCCCGTCGTGATTTTTTCACGACGTGAGGAGGTCTGGGTAAGGCTCGGGCTCCCGACGCCCTCTGCTCGATCTTTGCGGGGGTGCGCGCGTCCGGGCCCCTCCGCCCCGGAGGAGGAGGAGGAGGAGGAGGAGGAGGAGGAGGAGGAGGAGGAGGAGGACGAGGACGAGGACGAGGAGGACGAGGAGGAGAAGGAGGAGGAGGAGGAGGAGTCACCCGCGGGGGCGCGAAGATAGCCGCGCGCCGCGCGCCGCGGCGTGGGCCCGGGCGGTGGCCCGTCTCCACGGGGGCGGGCCGGCGGCGTGGCTGCGCGTGTTGGGCGGCCGCGCGGCGCGCGCCGCGGGGCACCGCGCGGGAAGCTGGGCGGCCCCAGTTCCCTGCGCGCGCCCCGGGGCTCTCGATCTGATCGTTGGCCCCGGGCCCACGACGACGACAACGGACGCCGCCGCCGCCGCCGCCGCCGCCGCCGCCGCCGCCGCCGCCGACGACGACGACGACGACGACGACGACGACGACGACGACGACGACGACGACGACGACTCGTTGCTGGGGTCGTCTCGGTCCTGGGCTTGCTTGACGGCGTTTGCCCCAGGGGTCGTTCTCGGTCCTGGACTCCTGGGAGGCCCTCTAGGGTCACGCCCGCAGGAGGAGGAGGAGGAGGAGGAGGAGGAGGAGGAGGAGGAGGAGGAGGAGGAGGAGGAGGAGGAGGAGGAGGAGGAGGACGAGGAGGAGGAGGAGGAGGAGCAGGACGAGGAAGAGGAGGAGGAGGGGGAGGAGGAGGAGGAGGAGGAGGGGAAGAGGAGGAGGAGGAGGAGGAGGAGGAGGAGCTTCTGGGCTCGAGGGCGCCCTCCTCGACGGGGCGGGGGGGGCGCGGCATGCGAGGGGCGCGGAGAGGGCCGCGCCCCGCGGGGCCCAAGCGCGCGAAGGGAGGGCCTTGGCATCGCTCGGACGTGTGCATGTTCCCTTCGGCGAGGACCATCGAGGAGCATCCTTGATTTTGGACACCCGAAATGGGTACGGAAAGAATGGGCACTATGCCCAACAACAAATGTTGTCCCAAGCCAACAGCGGCCGCTGTTGGGCAGGCGGCCTTCTGTCTCGAATGGACACAGGCCGCGGCGGCGTGGACAGCGAATCCTGTTGAAAATGAACAGGAATGGTTGTTGGGCATTTTACCCATTCTTTCAGTACCCATTTCGGGCGTCCAAATTGATCATTTGGCACAAAAAAACACGCACGAAACCGGAAACTCGGGCGGCTGCGAAGAAGGGGCTGCCCCCAAAAATTAGGGGTTAAGCAAAGGGGCCACGGAGGGGCCCGTGAAAGGCCCCTCTTGGGCACCGGCTGGCTCCAAGGGGGGCCCCAAAGGGTCCTTTTGGGGCTCCAAGGGGGGCCCCAAAGGGTCCTTTTGGGCATCGGCTGGCTCCGAGGGGGGCCCCAAAGGGTCCGTTTGGGGCTCTTTGCTTCGCCCTCCCTTTGGGCCACTCCCCCTTTTAGCACCCGCCCGAGTGGCAGAGCGGTCTCGGCCCCGATGCCCGCAGGGCGCCGGGGCCCAGCGGACGTCGGGAGCACTCCGCGCCCTTCGGCCGCGAGGCGACTCCGTGCGCGACCCCCCTCGGGCTGTGGCAGCGGCGGAGGGCCTGGCGGCCGATGGCGCCACCGCGCTCGGGGCTCTCTGGGTCACTGGCGGGGGCGCGAACGATGGATCTTGAGTCGGGCGTGTTTTTCGACAGGGGGAACATCAAACAAAAATAGTTGTCACAACTCGTTGGCTTTTTTTTTCCCCGCGTTCCTCCTCCCTCCTTCCTCCCTCCTCCTTCCCCTCCTCCCACCTCCGAAGGCCCCAGTGCCACCGCCCGCACGCGTCCAGAACACCCAATTTGGCACACCCCTCGCACGCTTCGTGGCCCCATAGGGAGCTCCACCGACCCCAATGGGACCGCCCACATGCGTCCCGAAAGCCAAATTTGGCACACACACACACACACCTCACACGTTTCGTGGCCTCATAGGGAGCTCCACCGAAGCCAGTGAGACCGCCCGCATGCGTCTCGAAAACTCAATTTGGCACACCCCTCACGCTCTTCGTGGACCCATAGGGAGCTCCACCGAAGGCCCCATTGGGACCGCCCGCATGCGGCCCGAAAACCAATTTTGGCACACCCATCACACGTTTCGGTCCCATAGGGAGCTCCACCGATGGCCCCAGTGCCACCGCCCGCATGCGTCCCACACACCCAATTTGGCACACCCCTCACACATTTCGTGGCCCCATGGGGAGCTCCACCGAAGCCCACAGTGGGACCGCCCGCATGCGTCCCGAAAACCAAATTTGGCACACCCATCACACGTTTCGTGGCCCCATAGAGAGCTCCACCGACGCCCACAGTGCCACCGCCCGCATGCGTCCCGAAAACCAAATTTGGCACACCCCTCACACGCTTCGTGGCCCCATAGGGAGCTCCACCGAAGACCCAAGCGGGACAGCCCGCATCCTTCCCGAAAATCTATTTTGCCACACCCCTCACACGCTTCGTGGCACCATAGGGAGCTCCACCGATGGCCCCAGTGCCACCGCCCTCATGCGTCCCCAATGCCCTTTCGGCACACCCCTCACACGTTTCGTGGCCCCATAGGGAGCTCCACCGATGGCCCCAGTGCCACCGCCCTCATGCGTCCCCAATAACCCTTTCGGCACACCCCTCACACGT